CCGGGGGAAGGCTGCCTGGGCTGTCAGGCATCCCTCCAGAAGAGGGTCGCGGCGGAGGTAAGTCCACCGGACCTCCAGGGGCTTTAAAGCCCACTTAATGCGGGACGGCATAGAACGTCGTAACAGCGTTAACGGGTTAAAATTACACATTTTAGAGTGGCCTTTTATTGTGGCCAGCCTAAGGCACACCTGTGCAGTAATCATACTGTCTAATCAGCATCTTGATATGCCACACCTGTGAGGTGGATGGATTATGCAAAGGAGAAGTGCTCACCAACACAGATTTAGACAGATTTGTGAACAATATTTTAGAGAAATAGACCTTTTGTGTACATAGAAAAAGGCTTAGATCTTTGAGTTCAGCTCATGAAAAATTGGGGCAAAAACAAAAGTGTTTCGTTTATCATTTTATTCAGTGTGCATGTTAATAGCAAACTGATGACTACTACGGACTACTACAGACCCTCCCTCCCAGACCCTCCCACCTCCTGGACAGCTCACTAAGAATGCAGCTTTACAATGAATGTAAAATGGATGCTGTCCAGGAGGTGGTAGGGTCTGGGAGGGAGGGTCTGCTGCTGATTGGCTGGAATGTGTCTGCTGACTGTGAGGTACAGGGTCAAAGTTTATTCAATGATGACATTGGGGGCGGACCGAACAGCGCATATGTTCGCCATCCGTGGCGAACCGTTCGGCAAACCGTTCGGGACATCACTAAATATAATATGTTTATTGAAGGGAATGGGAGACCAGATATGGCATTAATAATCCCAGAAGGCAACAAGCAAATGAAAGAAACAATGTTTTCGATGCAAATAACACAGGACATATTTAAAATGTTCCATATGAAAAACTGAGAAAAGTACCAGCATCATCAAAAGAAATAACTATTACGGTCCCGAAGGATCATTGACTTCATGAACTGGATCTTTTAAGTTTACTCAAAAGAGTAATCCACATAGATGTTGCAATGATTAAGGGACAACATGCTTGATAATGTGACCTTCTGTACGGAAACTGATTTCAGTGTAAAAGATAAAGCCATGCTAGAGATTGGAAAGAGAAGCACCACAACAGGAAATGGTTATGGATTCCTGAATGATCTCACCATCAGAGAGACGTAAAACTGTGCATGCAAAATTTTCCAAACCTACAAGGAGCCTTTTGTTGGCAAAACATTAGGCTAACAATGACTTCACGCTTCATTTCCAGCTGATTCATATATCATTTAATAATAATAAGAGGGAGATCTTAGAAATATGACCTTTAGAAGAACACTTGTACACTTTTATCACAGATATAGTGCAAGCTAAAGCATTCCCATTCATCGTTCATGAGTGAATAAACTAGGAGCAATGACACCTGGAACACCAAAACCTAAACTATATTAAGAAGCTTGTAACATGAAATGTAACATAAAACATGGTAATGTTGCCACAAGCTTGTCAAGTGCACAACCTGCCACAAAGCAAAACTCATTTTCCACTTAAAAAATGCTGTTAAAGTACGTAATTAAAGTGATGTGACTAATGAAGACCTCCACTACCAGTAGCGGAGAAGATATAATGACCTTTATTTATGACTAGTCCACCATGGCATGCCTCAAGAATGAGGTACTGGAGAAGTTTCTGAGCTTGTAGCCATCACTAGCAACACATTCCAGTGGAGACCAAGAATTTTTTTTTCTCAAAAAAAAATGGAGTTTCAGAAATGAAAAAATCCTAGTGATGCTCACCAGATGTATGAAGATAACAAGGCCACCAAGCACTGGGGCTAAGCTATACATAACAACTTACTTGAAAACCGTGCTACCACCGAATGTTATCCAGAAAGCAAATAGAGGAATAGCTCATAACCACATAGCATAAAGGTGTTTGGTTGCAAAGTTTATACTTTATTCCAAACAGCAAAAGCACAGCAGGCATACTGATTGGCAATATTAACTGCTGTTAATACTTTAGCTGAATTCTAATAAATTCAGAATAAGACACTTCTACTGAATGCCATGAACTGAATTTCATATTCCTGGAAAAAACAAAAAAAAAACAGATAACATTGTAAGGGCAACACAAAAGGGTACCATGACCAAAATTAGGCAATAAAGGTTTTGTAAAAATAATGAAAATTTGAGGTGAACTACTACAATATTAATGCAACCAAGGGGATACCACAACAAAAATTGTTAAACACTGCTAAAATGTTGGAAATATATGAAGTGGGAAGAATTTTGCAGGATTTTCTAGTGTAGGGGCCAGCCAATAGAAAGAGGCAGCCATGGAAGAGATGAAGTAATTTTGATGGGATTTAAACACACAATGGCGGCCACTTGGACGTAAAGCTTCTGGGAGCGACTGAATTGCAAAATCAAATGCAATTTTCAGCTGCAAAACAATTGAGCATTATCTAATAATGATAATGATATAATGAGTGTGTCTGGCAGATGGGACAGAAGGTGGAGCTGTGGCAAAGATAAAGCTAACACTTTAAAAAAATTGTCACGAAGTGCACAAGTGAATTGATAAAAATATGAAAAATGATCAATAGAAATAGCAGCAACCTAACAAAGTGCCAAGACCCAAAACGATACTCAGTTATGAATGGATGCAAATTTAAGGTGCGCTGTGCCTCTAAAAATTACACATGCATTTGTGATCACACAAACTTGTTGAAAACACTCACAATGCAATAGGCAGGTATCCACAGCAGTATATGATTATATATATATATATATATAAAAATAAAAGAGGGAAAAAATATAGTGTAAATTCACAATGCAGGAATCATAAATAGTAAAATTAGGATATTAATAGTAAAATTGAGATATTAATCACTAACAAACGAGGAGCAGATCAAATACTGCCCAAGACATGGAATGGGAGTGGGAGGGGATGGGACAAGAAACATATGTTGCAAGTTAGTAATTTTCATGAAAAGTTGGAAGTCATAAGGTAGATGGTTTACTGGGTATAATGACAGCGTTTGTTCCAGCAGCAATGGACTAAGTGGAAAATAAGCTGAACCATCAGTTAGTATCCAAACAAAGAGGCGAGATAAGGAAATGAGAAGTGGGGAGGAGGAGGGGTTGGATAGAGACAGGATTGAGGCTGTTCTATTATTTGTACAGAAGTGTAAGGAATTTAGTAATGGAACCTCTGGAGATCTGATGCTTGTAGAGTTTTTGCAATAAATGGATGATTTGATCAAACAAATGACAATAAAATCGAATATGGAGCTTTTCGAAGCTGTTGTAGTGGAATCAGGGAATACAAAATACTAAGGAATATCGAGGAAGAGTTACTCCTAGTAAAGATGAGGGAGTAGAACATGGATTTTGTGGTTCAGAAGTCTAGTCAAGGTTTATTAAAGAGATTTCAAGGTTAGACAGATTGTATCAAATAATATGTCTTATTTAAAATGTAAGAGTGATTAAACAGGACAGTGAGGCTACCAACTAAGTACTCAGAAGCAACAAAAAATGAAATAATGTGAAATTATTGTTGGGCTGATTCACTGTAGTATTGTCTTATTTGTAGCAAGTTTAAGGCCACACAGGAAGACACATCAGACAGGCTGGAGGTTTTGCCAGTGGCGAGAGTAGGAGTAAAGGAGGAGTGATGGAACCATCAGAGAAGGAGTGACAGAAGTACAGCATAGTGATGGAAGAGAAAGAGATGAATGCTTTAAACTCACTGGGAACTGAATTAATCAATTAATTCCACTTTTAAAAGAACATGTTTATTTTGGTTTTTTTTAACAGAAAGCAAGGATGAGATGGGGTAGAGAACTGGTTTATTTTAAATACGTATTAATTATTTTCTCTTTTATGTAAGTAATCGCATCTACTAGTGGTACAATTTAACTAAAGTTGAGTTACAAATACTGAGTCTAAGAGAACAAGACAGTATTTTTTACAAGGTAAAGATAAAGTTCAGATGGTGAAATATACCAGCGTGTTAAAGAGAGCTTGGCAAGTCTTGAAATAAGAACATCATGGATCTTTAATGCAGTTTGTGTGGAGAGTGCAGCATAGATGGAAGATTTAAAAATGGAAAGAGAAGCAGAATTAGATGAATCTAGATAGTTGGTTATGGAGATCATTGAGTGATGGGCCTGAAGCTACATGGGATGCTGAGATCAAAAAGATATCTTTGAAAGAAGAGGAGGGATATCTGCTAGGTTGAAAAGAAAAACAAACATAATAATCGCAGAGGAGGTACAATGTAAGACATGCAAGAATAAATAGAAAGAAGTAAGAATTGAGATAGACTTTATAATGCAAGATATGTAAGTATGATTGAAAATAAGTGAGAAAGAAGAGGTTGTAGGATAGGCTGTAAGGAGAGATGACGGGCATGATTGTTTTATGACACCAGAGATTCAAGTGAGGTGGATTACCTATGAAGGAATAAACAAAACTAATTCAAAGAGGATGAAGAAGGAAAGAACTTCAAAATACAGGCATCAGAAAGTGATAACAAGTGAAGTTTGTTAGAAACAGAGTTCGGGTAGTTTAAGTGTGAGGTTCATAAGTCACAGGAGATAAGTTCATCAAATGAGAAGAGTAGGATGTTGCTTACATTCTGCACTGTATGATGAATGGGTTGTCTGACACAAACAGATGGATCACACTATCAGTATGTGATGGATTGAACCAAATTGACAGTTACCTTCTACAGGACGTGATTAATGGAACCTGTCTTAACCTCATAGGTGGATCATGCAATGAGTTGATGAGCAGTTTGAAAAGTTTAGCCCAAAAAGTTGGAGCAAAATTCCCAATTCAGCTGTGTTTTATGTTTTACTATACTTATTATGTCTTGTATTATAAGTTGATTGTCAACTCACCACAAAGCACTACAGATTATGAGATTTATTGTCGCCAAAACCTAAATATATGCAGTTTCCCTATCCAGCTCTATCCTACCCAACAAATGTTTATACATAATTCCTCAAGTTGCACGTATATACACATGGAACAACTCAGTAGGAAGACTCACCTCTCACACCTCAGATTCCGAATTCATCAGTCTAAAACTTCTTATCATTTGCATTGGAGTTACTTCACAGTTTCTTTGTTTCTGGCACCTTTAAAAAAAAGAAAACAGATGGTCACAAAAAATGTTAAGACAATATAACAGTTATGGAATGCTAACAACACAGATTTCAGTAAATCAGTCTCTTTCAATGTTGTGACTTTACATAAACTTTTTCTTACTTTTTCACGATATTGCCATGACAACAGAAAGCATGTAAAACCAATTTGTTATGGTTAGGTCTGGTGAAGATGTTTGGGAGGAATTTTTTTTAACTAATTGATGTAGGATATACATCATGCCATAGTTTCATTTAAGCTGCAGTGCATTTTAATAAGCAGTGCAATCCACCACTTTTGAGCCATCACCAAAACCACCCAATAACGATCAAGCACTATGTTTTCTCCACTCCTGCACTCCACGTGAAGTGTCATGTACATAACAGTATGTATCAGAGAACCTACAGCTACCGTCAATGCTGCCTCCATTTTGTATCCACGGAATGAAGGTTAATAACACAGCAGAGGTCAAAATAATTTTTCTTAATTGCCTCCATCCTAGGAGCGTAGCATCAGATTCTTACATGTTGTGTTCATATGTGTTACTAATGTATTGTGAGAAGCTGTGCTATGTTGCTCTTTTATGTTAATAATATGGTTTAATGTCTATATCTGGCCAATATCATGTGTCCTCGTGTGATGTGTCGTCAGACATTGCTTACATGCAGAAGACGCCACCTCTTAATTTCTGAAATAATGAACACATCAACTACAACTTACACTACATCCATTCACATTAGTGGTACAGCCTCGAGATAAACGGGTCTGTACACTTTCTTGTAAAACTTGCATCACAGAAAAAAATATTATAATCTATCCAATGCATAACAGAACCTTTGCTGCTATTGGGATGATAGTACACACTTTATAATTTGTATATCTTGATAATTGTGTTAATTGTGTTAGAACTGCGTGGATTTGTTTGTCAATTCTTATTTAATGGTATGAGAATCAAAGGAAACCAACAAAGCAATAATAATAGTGGAATTAAATTTAGCAACATTACAGGAGAAGAACAACGACAGAGAAAGTGAGTTTGTTTCTAGTAGTTGATTACGGTATGTAGCCACCGAATAAAGACTCGTTTGGTGGTTTGGAAGGATAGTAAAGTGGCATGTCGACCACTAACACTAACATTTTAATGCAGCATACAGGTAATTTTTCATAACATTTCTATGTCCATTAAAACAAATCCTGCAAATTTCCTCTGCTGATTATGTCATACATTAATTAGTATAAAAATTACATAAAATTAATTTGAAAATAAATGGTATACGCACATATTTTTAAATGTTGTATATCTATAAATATAATCCTATATTTATAAGTACTATACTACTTGTAATATATGTACTATACAAGCGCAGATCAAATGGTACTTATGTATTTTATGAACCAAAGTTGCCTATTTCTTTAAATAAACATTTTGCTGACAAGCGTTTCATTCCACCGATAGCAACCATGGGCAAAGATTGCTCCTGAGAATCAACTCCAGATAGAAAGGATTAAATACGAAACTTACTCAGAAAAATAGCATCATTAAAGCTGTCTGGGAAAGAATCAGGAAGTCAAGTAAATGGCTGGGAAAGGGTCATAGGGGGGCATAACAATGTCCTCATATATAGATCTTCTCTGGAAGACAGGCATGGGAAATTTTATAAGTGGGTGGGGAGAAAGAACCTCAGCCATTTTTATAAATCACATTCTTGATAAATCACTGTGCAAGTGAAAAGTGATAACATGTCTTTCACTAACATCCTACTCACTGTTAAAAGGTTCATTCTTATTCATAGTGAATATTTTTAGCATTTAAAATGAGCAGTTGACACCAAGAAATAACGTGCAATTTAATGCTTTCGTTGTTGAAGGGTTATAGATCCTATGAATTCCATAGAGACTTTACCAGTATATATCAGTCTTTTCTCATATCTTCTACCATTTATGTAGTAGTAAATGCTTTCAAACTGAACTTTTTCAACAGGAAGCATGAAAAAGTTATTTAAAGGACCACTATAGGCACCCAGACCACTTCAGCTTAATGAGGTGGTCTGGGTGCCTGGTCCAGCTAGGGTTAACCCTTTTTTTTATAAACATAGCAGTTTCAGAGAAACTGCTATGTTTATAAATGGGTTAATCCAGCTTCTAGTGGCTGTCTCTTGACAGCCGCTAGAGGCGTTTGCGTGCTTCTCACTGTGAAAATCACAGTGAGAAGACGCCAGCGTCCATAGGAAAGCATTGTGAATGCTTTCCTATGGACTGGCTGAAGGCGCGTGCGGCTCCTGCCGCGGATGTGCATTCAGCCGAAGATGAGGAGAGGAGGCGGAGAGGAGGAGGAGAGCTCCCCGCCCGGCGCTGGAGAAAGAGGTAAGTTTAACCCCTTCCACCCCCCCAAAACCCTGCGGGAGGGGGGCCCTGAGGGTGGGGGCATACTCGTTTTCCTGACACTATAGTGGTCCTTTAATAAAGACCGAATGGCATTGTACTGAATGGGGCAAAAACATCTGGCTGCATACGGGGCATTTGGACTGCAATATCTGGACATTGTTCATACTGTTTAGTAATGTGTGAATTTTGCAATTCAGGCTTTGAACGGGCCTGAATTTGATCTGGACTTCAGCTGGAATTTGAACTGGACAAAATCTGGTATTTAGTAAATAACCCTGTTTGTGTTCACAGAATAAGGGGTGGATGCTCTGGATTTGTGGTTCACCTCATGGTTACATGTGTCCGCTTTTGCCACAATTATAAACTGTTGATCTATTCTAATATTTAATGATGAGCTCTGGTTATAATATAATACTGCGTTTAATTAATCGGAAATTATGTATTTATTTTTTAAATCTGTGTTTAATTGCTCTATCTTGCAATCTACTGTTTGAAAAAATACATTTTTTTTTTCAAATGTTGAAATATCCTTTCTTATCTCAAGGAATATGAGCATATGATCACATCATACAAACTGACAAAATGCATATACATTTTTTAATTATTCAGTAGGTGTATCCTCTATTGGACATTATAATTACTGTTGACATCAATAATATTTGCTGTGGCATATGGCTTATTGTCAGTGAGCTTTGGTTGGAGGCAACTGAAGATGAAATTCTGGAGGTGTCCTAGCTCGATATATTCAATGACTGTGTGGATTTTAGTCATGCTTGACAATATGCATTTTGACAAAAAAAATCAGCCTGGTATATTTTATTATGTTTCTGCATATAAAGGCATAAAGGCATATTGCAATCAAATACGTATCAAACTAAATATTTTGAAAAACATTTGAAATTATTATTATTATTATTATGATATTTATAGAGCGCCGTCATATTCCGCAGCGCTTTACAATGGGTGGACGAACAGGCATGTAGTTGTAACCAGACAAGTTGGACACACAGAAACAGAGGGGTTGAGGGCCCTTCTCAATGAGCTTACATGCCAGAGGGAGTGGGGTAAAATGACACAAAAAGGTAAGGATAGTATTAGACTAGTGACAGTTGCAGAAGAGGAATCAGTCAGGAGCTATTAACAGTTTAATTGATACGCTTTTATGAAGAAGTGGCTTTTTAACGATTTTTTGAAGGAGTGGAGACTGGGTGAGCATCTAACGGAGGAGGGAAGCGAGTTCCACAGGAACAGTGCAGCCCTTGAGAAATCTTGAAGGCGAGCATCAGAGGTGGGAGTACGGATAGCTGAAGATAGACGTAAGTCTTCAGCAGATCTAAGGGCCTAGACGGGACATGCTTGTGTATAAGGGAGGATAGATAAGTGGGAGCAGCATTATGTAGAGATTTGAAAGCAAGAACCAGAATTTTAAATTGACCTCTATATTTTATAGGAAGCCAATGTAGGGACTGACAGAAGGGTGAGGCATGGGAGGTGCAGGCGGACAGGAAGATGAGCCTCGCCGCTGCATTCATTATGGACTGTAATGCGCTGGTTGGGAGCACGAAGACCACTGAGGAAGCGGATTACAGTAGTCACAAGTAAGAGGACAGTGGAATGGACCAACACCTTAGTCGCATCTGGGGTTAAGTAGGGGCGGATGCGCGCAATGTTTTTGAGATGGAAATGACAGGATTTGGCGATAGATTGAACATGAGGCTTGAAGGAGAGGTCGGAGTCAAAGAGAACACCTAGGCAGCGAGCCTGCGTGGTGGAGCTGATGGTAGCACCGTTGACTTGGAGGGAGACAGACACAGGAGTAACAACAGTTGAGGGAGGAAAGACCAGAAGTTCAGTTTTGGTCAAGTTTAGTTCAAGGAGTCAAAGAGAACACCTAGGCAGCGAGCCTGCGTGGTGGAGCTGATGGTAGCACCATTGACTTGGAGGGAGACAGACACAGGAGTAACAACACTTGAGGGAGGAAAGACCAGAATTTCAGTTTTGGTCAAGTTTAGTTTAAGGAAGTGGGCAGCCATCCAGTTAGAAACAGCAGAGAGGCAGTTAGAGACACTAGTCAAGAAGGACGGGGAGAGATCAGGAGAGGACAGGTAGATTTGCGTGTCATCTGCATAGAAATGATATTGGAAGCCAAAGGAGCTAATGAGTTTACCAAGGGAGGCAGTATAGATGGAGAACAGTAGGGGACCACGGACTGAACCCTGGGGGACACTAACAGAGAGGAGTTGGGGAGAAGAAGCAAAGCCAGAGAAAGAAACACTGAAAGAGCACTGGGAGAGGTAGGAGGAGCACCAGGAGAGTGCTTTAGACAGTGGGTTAAAGTTCTATTTAATTTAATTTTTATATATGTGCACTTTAATCAAGTCTGCTTGTACAAGCTATGATGATATTTAACTCTGTAAAATACATTTGTTTCTCTTATCTGATAGCTAAAGTGGATCTGTCACTTTTAAGGGTCTTTGCATATTTTGCAAAGAACCCCAAAAGTGACCGATGCAGTATGGAACTGGTGGCTGTGGGGTGCAGGTGAAGTTAAGTTTTTCATATCTCAAGCTGTCCATCTTCATCCTGCTGGTCCTCTTTAGGGCCTTGATTCTTAGGTGCCAGGAGCCACGTCTGTGCTATACACTCACACATAAATCAAATATAATGCTTGTTATTTTTCATATATTAGTACCCTTACCTATACAGTCCAGACAAACAAGCAGTCATGACAGTTACCGGTATGTTATAGGCTATATAAAACTGGAAAGCACAAATAGGTATGAACAGTGGAGTACACATGACCCATGGCGCCCCGGTGTGAAAATTTATCCGTGGGCCCCCCCCGCGCTTACTCGGCGCGGGTCAGGGCCGCAACACATGGCGGCGGGCACCTGGTCGCAGGGGTTGCAGGGCTGCAACCCTGTGACTGCGGTATGCACACATACTTAAAGGACCACTACAGACACCCAGATCACATCAGCTCAATGAAGTGGTCTGGGTGCCAGGTCCCTCTAGTTTTAACCCTGCAGCTGAAAACATAGCCGTTTCAGAGAAACGGCTATGTTTCACTGACGTTAATCCAGCCTCTGGTGGTTGTCTCATTGACAGCTGCTAGAGGAGCTTCCGCGATTCTCACTGTGAAAATCACAGTGAGAAGACACTGAACGTCCATAGGAAAGCATTGATTAATGCTTTCCTATGGTAGCACCTCTTGCGCACATGTGCATTCAGACTGAAGGACACTGGGAGTCGGCTGGAGAAAGGTAAATGCTGAAGACACACACACACTCTCACGAACAGACGCATACACACTAGCTAACAGACACACACATTTACTGACAGAGACACACTCAGCGACAGACATACATACACACTCACTTACAAAACATACACTTTCACTGACACACACTCACTAACAGACATCAAACACACTCAGTAACAGACACACACAGTAACACACTCACTAGCAGACACACACCCAATAACAGACACACTCACTGACACACACACTAACACAAACAAACACTAACACACACACAAACACACACACACACTAACACACACACTAACACACACACTAACACACTAACACACACACTAACAAACACACACACTAACACACACACTAACACAAACACACAAACACACACACTAACACACACACACTAACACAAACACACAAACACACACACTAACACACTAACACACACTAACACACACACTAACACAAACACACACACTAACACACACACTAACACAAACACACACACACTAACACATACACACATTTTTTTTTTTATTTAATCCCCCCAGCCTCCTTACCTTTTGGAGTGCTGGGGGGATTCCCTGGGGTCCAGTGGTGCTGCTGACCCCGGCGGGCGGGCGGGCTGGCTGTCCGGCACGTGAGGGAGCACTCTGCTCTGAGTGTTTCCTCTTCAACTCCCTCGCGCACCACATAGGGATGCCAGCACCGGAAGATGACGTCATCTTCCGGCTCCGGTATCAGTGCGGTGCGCGAGGGAGCTGAAGAGGAAGCACTCAGAGCAGAGTGCTCCCTCGCGCACCGGCCACCCAGCCCGCCCGCCCGCCGGGGTCAGCAGGGCCAGCCTCGGGGGGGGCCTGAGGTGGCCGGTTCCTGGGTCCCCCAGGAGAAGAGGCTGGCCCTGTGGGTACATACCGGGTCGCAGGGGCGGCCGGGCCCCCTGGTGGGCCGGGCCCGGTCGCAGTCGCGACCCCTGCGACCCTGGCATGTACGCCATTGGGTATGAACTGACAAGTAAATTAAATAAGGAGATGGTACTTTCCATCAGAAACATACTAACAGTGATGAATTGCATAACAATGGGTCTTTCGCTCTTGTCGTACAATGATTTCCTGGGAGTCCCCAATACGTTCTGGATTTTCATTGACTGACAGTCAGTATATAACACGCATACAGACTGGATCATAATGCCCTTTAAATCTCTACTATATATTTAAAAGAAAACAGAGCATCATAAAAGAAACAGTAACACAAGTTATCGGTAATGTTTTGTTTAGTGGTGTAAATTCTAGAGAACTGACAGTTTTCCCGTTAACTATAAAAAAATTAGGATATCAGGAAACCACAATTTGCTTTTCAATTTAATATTTAATACTCTTGCAAGGTTTACTCGATGATGGGCTTGAAATCGAAAACCTGTATTAGGATAACACAACTAAAACAAAATCAAATGGCATGTAATAAAAAAAAAAAAAGAACAACATTAAAACAGTTACATTCATTTAAAGTACAATTTCTATATATACGTCATTAAACTAAGTACACCTGTTCCCACTTTTGCAGAAATTAATTCCCTATGATTCGGAATTGTATTTCATCTCATAATATGTGTTTGAGAATGGGTCTATAATTTTACTAAAATAAAAATAAATCAGTGGGTGTTATTCCATATTAACTGTTCTCCTGCCAGCAAAGCACGCTGAGTCCTAGTCTGTTAAAGAACTTCCTGCATGGAGTAATCTCTTAGAATCTATAAAAGTACTAAACAGTGCTTGTTTCACAAAGAAAAGAACAAGTATGATTATGCAGAGCAGTAAAACTAGAGTTTCACCAGACACAATCATTATAACAGCATATAGCAATTGTACTACAGGTGTCTTTGTGCAGGATAACTATTGTGGAAAAATAAGAGTGTATTGTCAGGATGGAGGCAGTGGTTTACCAATCCTTGCAATGCATTGCTATTATGTTTTCAAATTGTTTGACAGCAGATAAGAGCATACCTTTACTGGTTCACATTTTTTATTTTTTTTAAATAATTTCTGTTTAGTGGATATGTTTTTTAATTTTTTTTTTTATATAGAATAGTCTTAATCGTAGTACCCTTATTTATTAAAATTTGTGTAAGCTAACAATACTCATTTTATATAGATCCATTTTAGATAGATGCATGTATATCAAAATAATTTTACTCTGACAATATAATATATATATATAGCCACAACATTAAATTAATCTGCCTAATACCATGTTGTTTCCCCTCATGCTTCCAAAACAGCAGCCTGTTGAGGCATGAACTCCACAAGATGTCTAAATGTGTCCTGTGGTATATGGCACCAGGACATTAGCAGCAGATCCTTTAAGTCCTGCAAGTTTCGAGGTGTGTCCTCCATGGATCAGATTTGTTGTTCCAGCCCATCCCACAGATGGTCAAATCAATTGGAGGTCAAAGCAACACCTTGAACTCTTTGTCATGTTCCTCAAACCATTCCTGAATAATTTTTGCAGTGTATCAGGGTGCATTATCCTGTTGAAAGAGTCCACTGCCATCAAGGAACATCATTGCCATGAATGAGTGTATGTGGTGTGCAACACTCTCTAGGTAGGTGGTATGTGTCAAAGTAACATCCACATGAATTCCAGGACCCAAGGTTTCCAAGCAACCATTGCCCACATCATAACACTGCCTCCACGGCCTTCCTTCTTCCCATGGTGTATCCTGATGCCATCTCTTCCTCAGGTAAATGACATATACGCACCTGGCCGTCCACTCATTCAAAAAGAAAACATGACCAGGCAACCTTCTTCCATTGCTCCATAGTAATTTTCTAATGCTCAAATCACAATTGAAGTCATTTTCAGCTGTGGACAGGAGTAATCTTGGACGCTCTGTCTGGTCTGTTGCTATGCAGACCCATACACAGCAAACTGTGATGCACTGCATGTTCTGACACCTTTCTATCATGGCCAGCATTACGTTTTTGAGCTACAGTAGCTCTCCTGTGTGATTGTACCAGGCGGGCTTGCCTTCGCTCCCCATGTTCGTCAATGAGCCTTGGCCGCCCAAGACCCTGATAACAGTTCACTGGTTGCGTTTCCTGATTCACTTTTGATAGATACTAGCCACTACATACTGGGATCACCCCACAAGACGTGCCCTTTTTGAGGTGATCTGGCCCGGTCATCTGGCCATCACTTGTCACTTGGACCTTGTCAAAGTCACTCAGATCTTTCTTTCCTGTAGGAGAAGCTGTAGGTCCTCTGACTGCACGTAGGGAGCAGAAGTGAGGAAATAATAGTGCAGATCTCAAATCATTGGCAGCTGGTCTCACACCATGTAAATGCCTATGTCTCAGAGTTTGTATTTCCTTTCATTTTCTGTCATAAGCGAAAAGTATGCCCCCCATTAAAATAATAAATTGCAATTTAAACTCGGTATATACTAATAACATATTTTAGTATTATCTTACATCTAAATAAAAAATAACCTAATGTGCTAATTTATTTGAACGGGTTTTACACAGCTGGTATATCTTGGTTATTAGCTTTGTCTAAAGATAAGGACAGATGGTTGAATTGTCAATTGTGTTTGCAACTAGGTTTATTGGTGTTGGATGCCCAGATGTAGATGCTGACTTACTGATACAAATGGATTTTCTAAACGTCAAAGTAATGAATAGATAAATTACAGAAGAAATAATATTTTGGGTATCTGGGTATAATTCTTCCATCTTATCTCTGGCATCCTTCAGGTGTGTGTAGAACATGTCTAGCTCTAGTCAAGTGTTGGTCCATGATAAAATAGGGATATGAGGTTACCATTACCGTTTGTGGCTATGCAGCCTCATATGCAGCAAACTGTGATGCACTGTGTGTTCTGATACCGTTCTAGCATGGCCATCATTATGTTATTCAGAAATTTGAGCTACAGTAGCTCTCCTGTGTGATTTGGCCAGACATGCTAACCTTCATACCCCACATGCATCAGTGAGCCTTGGGTGCCCATGACCCTGATGCCAGATCACTGGTTTTCCTGCCTTGTATTACTTTTGGTAGGCACTAACCACTGCATACCGGGAACACCTCACAAGAATTGCTGTATTGGAGGTGCCCTGACCCAGTCATCTAGCCATCACTATGTGGACTTGTTAATGTCACTCAGATATTTTCGTTTGCCCATTTTGTCTGCTTCCAACATGTGGAATTGTTTAATTGCTGCCTGATATATCCCACCCTGTGACAGGTGCCATTGTAACGATAAAATCAATGTTATTCACTTCTCCTGTCACTGGTTTTAAAGTTGTGACTGATCAGTGCATGTATACATCATATGGAACATCTCAAAGGGGCCAGCTCAAGCTATCTGAACCATCTGAATCTTTTCTTCCTAAATTATATTACAAAGCCTACCATATCAGGACTCTTGCATTTACATTTGTCCTTAGTGAAGCCTAGTGACATGTTGCAAATACTGTAAGCACCAAAACAGCATTATCTTATTAAAGCAGTTATGGTGTATAGATTATGAACCTGCAGTTTCAATGCTCAGTTCTTAGCATGAAGATCCCCTACTTTGAAAAAGCCTACTGCTAGGTGAAACGCGTTAGTGTATCTTATTTATATGCTTTATTTCTATTAAAGGTTGCTACTTTATACTTACATTGGACCCTCCAGTTGTTTTTTAGATGATTTTATCCAGAGGAACACTCTCTTTTAAATCCTTGGTGGGGAACATATCACCTATGCCAGAAGGATTGAACAAAGCCAATCTTTGCTCCCTCTTTGTGAGTACCTCTCCTTTTATTATTTTTATCATCTTTTATTACAGTACATTATATTTTGTTTTATTCTCCGCATATTACATATCAGTGACTAGCTGCTATCTCACTTACAAATAAGAACTTCTCCTCACGTCTTTTGGGACCGAACTATCACACTCCTTTTGCTGGCTACTAGCCCAAGATCTGACCAGACCAGGACTATGCGTATATCCACAGGTGAGGATCATACTGCCCAGGCGATATAATGGAGCTATTTAGAAGCTCCAGAAAATTGAAAGTGCTTTTCTTTATTCTTCTATCAACTACAAATATATACTATACCATTGTGAGCCTCTTGTTTCTTTTATCTTGCATATTGATTTTAACCTGGGGACCCCACCAAGGCGCTGCTACCCTTCCACCACTTGTTTATACATACATTTCAGTATATTTGACTAAATATATTATCTGTCTGTCTGTCTGTATTTATATGTATATACATTTTTTGTTTCTTTACACATGTTGCCCTATACCAAATTTTGAGCTTAAGGGGATGAAGGTATCCAGTGATGTAGGTGACATTTAAAAGTTTAACACAAAGCTCTGAATTTCTCTGTGAAAGTTCTCTGTAGAACCATCATTTTGTTGTACACATTGTTTATTCGGGTAATGTGTAGTTTCTGATCAATAGAAAGTACTGTAAGTATGGTGCTTGGGTGTGAACGAGCTATAAACCCAGACATAATAAAGAAACAGTGACATAACTGCTTTTTCTGATAGTAGTGAATTACGTATATGGGGGTATAACCTGATTCCACGCTGCAATGTTCCCACACTAACAATTCATTCTCCATTGTCAGTGCTTGCTTGCTTGGGCCTGGGCAGAGATTTTAATTGCAGTAAAAAAACAAACTATTCTGCTCCTGTTCACAAAATATCAAAGCTGAGCACAAAGTAACTTTTAGTAGAACAGCACAAGGAGTTTATTCAGAGAACCCGTAACTGTTCAAAATTGACAAGGGAATTACAGATTTTGGCCTAAAAATTGCAATTCCCTTGTTGCTCCTGCACAGTTCCCACAGCTTTAGTGAATAAACCCTGAGCTATTGATTTGTATTCCTGCCCCGTTCATCCTAATTAGCATTAAGTGTAGTCAATAAGTGAGTGAGGGGTGGCATTGAGAAATATTTCGTTTCCCAAGATATATTCATATTCCTTTAGATTACTTCAGTTTTTATCCCAAAACATTTTCCCATCAGTCTGCCTGATGTTCTTTATCCCTCAAGTTTTGAATTTGTGTTAGAACAGGGACAGAGTGTCCTCATTGCCATTTCAAAGAGGCTCACTGGCTGTGCCCTTGGTTTTTTATTTCTCCGGGACATACATATAACATATTTCATACAGACAGCACACGTATAACACATATACTCAGATGCCGCCCCCCTCTCTAGAACAGGTGTCACATTCTCCACCCTCATATACTGAACAGCTTACCCCTGGCAGCTGCCAAGGATTTGCAGAATCTGTCATCCCACTGAAATACCAAAACAGCTTTAGAATGTTCCGTTCGTGCACCATGTTCTAATGTTCTCAGAAAAAATAAATAGAAAAAAAAAAACCCCCAAAAACCTCCCCAATATTATTGGGGTGTATCTAAGTGACTTTATTCTACTATTCACTAAACAATGAGAACTGACTTTTACAAAATGTACAAATAGTGGAGATGGAACAAATTATCATCATATCTGTGAAATAGGATATTTTTTTTTAAAATTGGTTCTCAGGATCTCACCACTTGCTGTGCCAAATGTGCTATTTTATGAATAAGAATCTTCTTTTTACTACTACTATTACTTAGAAATTGTGCTGTTTTGAGGTATTTGTTTAATACTAAAAATTAAACAGAAACAACGTAACAGAATTACTTGCACTAATAATCTCAAAATCATTGATTGATTAGCGTTAAGGTGAAATTAGAGGGCCACATAGGACCCAGGGGTTAGGCAGGGGCCCTGGAAGCATGAATTTGCTTAGGAAAATAAGGGAGAAGTAGATTGTTATAATGTTTTTTTTTTTAAAACTATTATTCCATAATTAAGATATAGCCCCATGAACGGGGCGTGGCCTGGAACCCCAGAGTAGCGGCCGCATGTCAGAGTAGCTCCTTTTAACAGCGAAATGAGCACCCCGAGGGAATACACAGCGACCGGAGCCATGTCCCAACAAAAGGGCAGAAGACAAACAGAAAGGAGCAACAAGAATAACTTTTTTGCAGCCCGGAATACCCACACGAAATCCGCGGCAATGACCGAGGACTCTCAAGATGGCACCCGCGAGGAACACACTGACCTGCAAGGTACAACCACCATAGATGCCCCAGCAACATCAGGCATAATACAAAAAATGCTAGACGAAATGCACCACAAACTGCAACTCACTCTCCAAACATCCCTGAATTAAATCAAAGCAGAAATAAGGGATCTGGGATCACGCACTTCCACATTTCAAGACAAAATGGCGGACCACGCAGAGGCATACAATGTCATGAGAGCTGAAGTAGAAGACATGCATGACAAAATGGTAACCTTTGAAAATAAGCTAGCTGATATGGAGGACCGCACCAGGCGCAATAATCTAAGGCTGAGAGGGGTGGCGGAATCAGTGAGCACAGCGGACCTGCACGCATACCTACAAGGTCTGTTCAAGCACCAGGACATGCTGTTGCTGGACCGGTACCACAGGGTCCCCAAACCAAGATTCCTCACATCGGACGCACCACGCGACACCCTGTTGAGACTCCATTACTTTCACGTCAAAGAAGAGTTAATGAGAGCAAGCAGACAGCACCTAGATCTCCCAGCACCATACCAGGGAGTAACAATATATGCAGACATATCAGCAGCGACACTGAAGAAAAGGAAAACCTTTGCCTCCATCACAGAACAATTGAGACAACACAAGAAGCTGTACAGGTGGCGATTCCCGGTCAAACTGTTGGTCACACACGAAGGCAAGATCACAGCCATCACGACACCGGAGGCCGGTATACAGGCCCTAAGAGACTGGGGCCTGCCAACACCCCAAAGATGCAACCCAAAGTGGCAAGACCTGCTGAACTAAACCCCGAGTGCAAGAAAGCTGCAAGGAACAGATAAGTAGCACAGCAAAAACCACAAGACTATGGCAAGTACCACACAGAGACACTGGGACCAACACTACAATGGGGGGGCACCCAAAATGGGGGACCAGGTCTGCCAAGCTATAGAACTGACTTTAAGATACTTCAGCACCGACCCAGATTAACTCAAGGACCCCAGGGGCACCCAACCAAAAAACCCTAGCCACACGGTCAAACACAGTATAGACATTGTGAAAGGAGGGGTGAACAGCGAATGAACATTACACATCCAGGCCAATTGACCGCTACGGATAGGCATGGAAGCACAACGCTTCCTACCCCGAAGCGCCTATGAAGGGCGCAAGGCCAAAACCATGGCACATTCTTTAGTTACTATCGTTTTAGTTAAAATGTTTATTTTCCATGTTCACACACAAGAAATTCTCCATATTACCACAACACTTGGTGAACCCACACACATAGGGGGCAACAGCCCACACATGGCACAAAAAAGGGAGATGCCATCCGGTTCGAACATGCTGGGAAGGGTGGCTCTTCCACTGAAAGACACAACAACACTACAACTGCTTAAAAACCAAGGATATGACCCCCCATGAAAATATACTCCCATAACACTAAGGGCCTTAATCACCCAGTGAAGCGGAGCCTGCTTCGCAAAGACATAAAACAGCTACACCCTGAAGTGGTGTGTCTTCAAGAAACACACTTTAAAACCAAAGCATACTCACCCATATTTCTACAGGATTACCCCCACCAATACCACGCCACACACTCCAGAAAATCCAAGGGCACCTCCATACTCATCAGTAAAGATATGGCATTTACCCTCATGCAGGTGGAGGTAGACACAGAGGGACGGTATGTCATAGTAGTGGGGACCTTCAATGACGTTATGTACACTATCACAAATATCTATGCACCCAACAGGGAACAAAGAAACTTTCTCCACAGTGTACTTAAGAAATTATCCACCATGAAACAAGGGATAGGGGTAATATGTGGCGACCTAAATCATGTGCTAAATCCAATGGTAGACACCACGCTACCACACATGACCAGCAGAATGAGACCACTCAAGTGACAGAGAAGGGCAATGCAAAAGCTACTCCACGACCACCACTACTATGATGTATGGCGAGCTTTGCACGTAGGAGAGAGGAGCAAAAACCTTCCTGTCCACAGTGCACAATACCTACTCGCGAATTGACGGTATACTAATAACAGGCCAACATCTGGCGCAGGTTAAAGAATGTTCAATAGAACAAATCACTTGGTCAGACCACGCCCCAGTAGTAGTGGCGTTGACAGACATATATGACTACACACACAGAAGCCCCTGGAGACTGAATACCTCCCTCCTCACAAACAAAGCCTTCATGAAAGACATAGAAACAGAACTTAACCACTACTTCACGGAGAACAAAACAGGAGATACCTCACACAACACAATCTGGCAAGCACACAAATCGGTAATCAGGGGGCTACTGATAAAACAAAAAATAGCCTACCTAACCTTGACTGAGAGGCACAAAGTAACAGCGCCCAAAGACATAAGCAACGTCTTTGCTCATTACTACACCTCGCTTTACAACCTTGCGAGTGACGCACAAACACCGCATCCACAAGACATACAGACATATCTGGACGCGATTCCCCTACCCACGTTCACACCACAACAACAACAGGAACTCACAGCCACCATCACAGACACAGAAGTAGCAGTGGCTATAAAACTCCTACCGACGGGTAAAGCACCGGGCCCGGATGGCTTTGCAAACTGCTACTACAAGCAGTTTGCTAATATCCTAAAACCACACCTGACTGACACATTCAACGAAGCCACCAGACAACAACGATTGCCCACCGAGGCCCTACTGGCCCATATTATAACGCTCCTAAAACCAGGCAAGACACCCACATGCCTGCAAAATTTCCGCCCCATATCCCTGTTAAACACACGCCAAATTTTTCGCAAAAATTTACGCACTACTCCTTGGTAGCATGCTCCCCCACATCATACACAAAGATCAAGTGGGGTTTATAAAAAACAGGTAGGGTGGAGACAATTCCAGGAAGGTGTTAAATATCATCCACAGTATCCATCGCATGAAGGTGGGAGGTGTAATGGTGTCATTGGACGCCGAAAAGGCCTTCGACCGGCTGGGATGGGAATTCCTTGAGAAGGTCCTCCTAAAGTTTAGGACACTGTGGGGTTTTCTCTCAGCGGTTAGGGCCTTATATAACGCACCAACAGCACGAGTCATAAAAGCGGGATTTGTTTCGGACCCCTTTACCATCTCAAATGGCTCCCACCAGGGATGCCCCCTATCGTCGCTACTATATGTCATGGCCTTGGAACCATTTTGACAGCCATTAGACAACACTCCTCAATACATGGGGTGAAGATAGGGGATAGGGAATACAAGACAAGCCTATTCGCAGACGACATCCTTCTAACCCTGACACAACCGCACATATCACTTCCTAACCTGATGGCCACAATCACAGAATACGGACAACACTTCTACTACAAACTAAACATCACAAAGACACAAGCTATGGGATTGGGAATACCGGGGGAAACAATCAGCAGACTCAAAGACGCCTTCCCCTTTGACTGGCGAAAAGACCACTTGACATACCTAGGAATACGCATCCCACCTCACACAGAACAGCTCCTAGACCTAAACTACAACAGACTAAAGAAAGAAATGGCTGCCACGCTAGTCTTGGGAGGGGAAATATCTATCATGGGTGGGAAGGGTGGCAGCAATCAAGATGATGCTGCTCCCAAAATTCCAGTATCTACTGTGCACCCTTCCTATTACGCTCCCAAACACATACTTATCCTCCTTCCAAAAATTACTAGTCCGCTATGTATGGGCCAATCAACAGCCAAGAGTAGCCGCCATGCTCTTGCAAAGACGAATCACAAAAGGGGGACTGGGACTACCAAATATACAGACATACTGCAAAGCAGCCCAATTAGCAACGATCAAAGGGGCGACAACAGGGGGAGAGTTACCACAATGGACCCAGATAGAGGCCCACTGGATAAAAAGTCCAACACTTGGGGAATTATTTTGGATCCCACAGCAGCTCTGACCCCAAACAATGAAGCCCCTACAGACCACACAACAGACACTCAGAACCTGGGATGACCTCTGAACGAAAGGAGGGGAAGGGGAAGACATAGATGGAGATGCCCCAATATCATGCCTAGCAATAGTGATCCTGACATTTGACTCCAAAAAGTGGGCAACAGAGGGGTGCACCAAGATCAAACATCTATATCAGGCAAAGAAGCTGATGCCTTTCCCAGAATTACAAACTCAGTATGACATCCCCACCAGAGCAACACATGCAACTAAAATCACTGCTTACAGGAGTAAAACTACAAAGTAGGTCAGCACTACAAGAGCAAACAATAGAACAACTATGCCTATCAAACAAGCCCCCCAGAAAAACACTCTCAACCATATACAGAGCACTCATAGACAATAAGACAGAAGCAGACATGGCATTCCAATCAGCATGGCACAAAGAACTTGGGTATGTCATAGACAAAGACCAATGGTGCAGGGCATTCACAATACACAAAGGTAATACACAATGCACGGCACATCTCGAAACGATTAGGAAGCTGCAATATAGGTGGTACATGGTGCCAGAGAAACTGGCCAGGATATATCCGAACCACCCTAATGTGTGCTGGAGATGCGGGGAGGTCGGGGGGTCCATGGAACATGTGTGGTGGTCCTGTGCACAGCTCAAGACCTACTGGAAAATGGTGAGGGACATAGCAACAGACCTACTAGATAAACCATGGCAATTGACCATAGAACAGAGCATATTATTCATGATACCACATACACTGACGAAAACAGACGAATGCCTGATATTCCACCTGCTGATTTCAGCAGTAACACTCCTAGCCAGAGCGTGGAAATCGACTCAGGCACCAACAAGAAAAGCTCTACCGAAACAAATCTCCACAAACTGGAAGTACGAGATGATGGCAAACACATAAGACCACTGAAACACACAGGTCAAGTGGGAGAGAGGTGGAGAGCATACACAGACAAGGGCACACAGTGAGGCGAGAAAGAGAGCAACAGCTTCAAGGAGGTGAACCAGGGGTTGAGATAGGGGGTCACATGAGGGAAACCCAACAGACGTTGCAAAATGAACACCCAAGCACACAAAGGAAGCAGGCCACAAAGAGAGTCACAGCAGGCAGATACACCATAGGCATGAAGTAAATGAGACACATTGGTAACCCGTATGATGAAGGGTTAAAATAACCTGCACAGACCTAACTATTCTCTATAATGTCCCCTTGAAGAGCAGATGCCGAGTGGCGAATCACATACGTGTTAGGCAATCTACAAACTGTATATCGTGGAATGTATGACTTACTTTTTTTCCTTTTTTTTCCCTTCCCCCCCTTTTTTCTTTCTGTACCTCCAAAGTTCCATATGTCTCAAAAATGACAAAAACAATAAAAACTGTCAAATTGAAAAAAGATATAGCCCCATATTTAAAATAATTAAAATTAAAAGCTAGTACATTTCTTAATCATGGCCTTGATTTTCATATATTTGGATAAGCTTTTGAAATTATTTAATGTTTTAAAATAGATTTTTTTTTTAAAAAACATTAAATTATCAAAACCTATAATATATAAAAACATTGCAAATATCAAACAAAATATGAAAATTTGAAACATTTAAAAAAAAATTATTTAAAAGGTTTATCCAAAAATATTAAATCATTTGTGCCCTTCCCAGAGCTTGCAAAATTTAGGCCAATATGGCAGTTTATACTTGTCCATAACTAGCTGCTTAGTAATAAACATTGTACTTTGTACATACAATGCCTTTGGAATTATTATTTTTTTTTTTACCATTGATGCCTCTATAGTAAAATTATTATTATTTTTTTTTTTTTGCATTTTACAAACTTTTTTATTTTATTTTTTTACAGCCCAGCTTTTTTTGTGTTTTCCTTCTCCCTTTCACCCAAAATTGCTTTTCACCAGTATAAACAAATTTATCTGCCAGAGCTCAGGGACTGTGAATGACTTTCCCTTGTTTCTCTCTGCAGCTGTCTTTGTATGTCAAACTTCATGGCTGCATAAAAGCAGCCAAGAAGGGCTCTAAGAACATTAAAATGACTAACTGCAGGCTCCAATAGAAGCTGTCAATATATAGTATAGATACTTCGATGATTATTGACTAAAATGAGAATTTAAAATGAACTAAAAGTGAATTTGATATGCGAGGCCACAATAGCTAAACTAAAAGTATGGCTGACTATTTTTCTCTTAAATTTGAAATTCACTTTGAATTCCCATTTTCAGAACTTACCCTGTATTTGTATTTTTACTGCATGGAGACAAAATCCCTATATAAACACACTAGTTTTAAATTCTAGTAGGAATGTTACAATGGATGAATCCCCCAAATTATTATAAGTGGGTGAAATTATTATAAGGAGGGTATTTCACCAGTATTATCTGTCTTGATCATGCTACTGCATGGCACAAAACTATAGTTCAACTTATATGCTAATACTGAAACATATAGGATACCATGTTATCTGTAAAACATATTTATCTTCAGCATTTTTCTTAAATTAAAAATATTTAAATTAACTTATTTTTTTTTGGGGGGGGGGGTACCTTAAATTGAACACACAAACTGGTTTATCCAACATGTGTGTCTTAGTCATACATCTTGTGCTTCACACAGTAAGGATTTTTGCAATGAAAATAACTTGGCCATGAAGGGGTTACATTTTGTAACAAACAAGCATTAATCTAAGCGGTTGTATATACATCTCATCAAGGTAGTGGGAGGGCAGCTCAAGATCCCTAGAGAGGGAGGAAAAAAATAAATAAAAAAAAATAAAATAAAAATGTAATCAACCTCCAAACACCAATGGAAAGAAGGTACATAAAGAATAAAAATTCCACCACAGTTTAAAGCATAAGATAATGTATCCCTTAGGACCTTCGGATAAGTTCATATGTGCCAAAAGAGAAAGCTCTTAAGACTGTGTCAGGCAAGAAAGAATGTGCGAAAGTAGAAAAAATAAAACAAAACACTAATTCTCGTATAAGGACGCCCATGTGCCTACAGTATGAAGAGTAACTATAGATAAGGGCATACGCACTGAGAGAAATGGAAAATATCTCCTGTCGTGGTTGACAATATATATGTATGAACTACACCACACAGTGTGAGCAGCAAAAATATATATATATATATAAATAAAAAAACACTTAAAGCCTTAAATGTACAACTTCCCTCTAGGGCTTTCCTAGATGGCAACCTCTTTTGCTTTGTTGACAATAGCTGTATGAGAAAGGGTCAATAAAAAAGTAATGTAGAAAAAGCCACCTCTAAAAATGAGCTAGGGATTCAGCCAGACATTGTCTTACTCTTGATTGTGCATGGAAAACTTATGAAATATAATCATAGCCAGAGCAGACGTCGTAACTCTCAACCAAATTAAATCAACCAAGTTAAGCTCTAGGCTTTCCGAGAGGCCTCCTTTGACTCTTAATGCCAGGGTCCTTTCATCCCCTACTCTTCAGATATGTTTGTTTGACTAAAAGATGAGTATAATACCTACACCCATTACATAATGTTAAACTGGTCCTTGGTAGTGATGTCCCGAACTGTTCGCCGAACAGTTCACGAACGGTTCGCCACGGTTCGCCACGAACGGTTCGCCACGGACTCCAGTCAGCAGACACATTCTAGCCAATCAGCAGCAGACCCTCCCTCCCAGACCCTCCCACCTCCTGGACAGCATCCATTTTGAAGCTGCATTCTTAGTGAGCTATCCAGGAAGTGGGAGGGTCTGGGAGGGAGGGTCTGCTGCTGATTGGCTGGAATGTGTCTGCTGACTGGAGTCCGGCGAACAGTTCGGGACATCACTAGTCCTTGGTCTAAAAATCTGGACCATAATGGAACCCATTTCATAAATTAACTACATTTCTATAGGACACGTGAGAAAATGGAGAGCACTGCCTTCAACTTCCTGGCTAAACAGCAAGAGGCCACCATAAATACTAGATAGATCAACTTATTGCTGACCTTTCTGGGACCCTTAATTTTTTCACCCGATAATGTCACTAATGGGCATAGTTCAGTATCTACCACAGTTTAAACAAGAGATCTCTCTCAACAAAGATTGGATGAATGGGAACACCCACCACATCTTCAAAGATGGATGATATCAGTGCTTCATCACTGTGTGTTTTCTTGAAGTCGGAGATTGAGAGAGTTGAGTTTTCTAGTTGGATTGAACAAATGTACCAGTATATTATGAAGTGCTGTATTTGCCGTGAGGCACACAAGGCATTTGCCCTGGGCGTCACTTTCCAGGGGGCGGCAAAAACGCCACCCTCAAATGCCCACGCAAATGCATTGTTAGAATCGGGGCAGGCGGCTAGTTGGATCCAGGCGAGGGAGCGCTGATTTCTGAGCTCTCCCTGCTCAGCTCCCTTGTGGGCACAGAGTGATGCCGAGAGCCGGAATGTGACGTCTCTAGCCGCATGGACCTCAACTAGCCACCTGACTGCCTGCATGCCTGCCCAACAAGCCGGCCAGCAGCCCTACTGGACCCCAGGTAAAAAATCCACCCAGCTCTCCCAAAGGAAGGAGGCTGGGTGGATTTAAATTAAAATTTAAAAAAATAATCTGTGAGTGTTGTTGAGTGGGGGAATGTGTGTGTGTGTGTGCCTGTCAGTGTGTGTGCCTGTCAGTGTGTGTGTGTCTGCCTGTCAGTGAGTCTGTGTGTGTATATCTGTCAGTGTGTGTCTGTGAGTGTGTGTATGTATGTTTGTCAGTGTGCATGTGTGTGTATGTCTGTCTCTCCTCGATGTAGACGGGGGGCTGCTGGTATCCACACCTACTGTTCACCTTCTCCTTGTGCAATAAAATGATTGTTTCACTTTATTCTGACACAGTCATGAAGGCGGAGTGGTATAAATGCATTAAATATTACATAAAAAACAATACCATTCAATTTTGAATACATTTGTACCACTATACCTTGATACCTGTTTCTCAGTAAATAGAAGCAATCAATTTATTGCACAAGTAGAAGCTGAAAGAAGGTGAACAGGAGGTGTGGATATCATCATTCCCCACCTACATTGACGGGAGGCACCAGTGAGCGATATATATTCATGATATCTTGTGGGTGCTATTATGTTTTGTGCTACCTTTATTTTTGGTTTTAGATAATCTGCAACCACAATTTATTGTACTTCTTGCATGTACCATAGTTTGTCTGAAGACTTTGGTGAATTAATGACAGACATAGTTCTTCTAAAAAAGTGGGAGACTTGTCAGTGTTTATTTTTTTTTATTTTGAGAGTATAACTATAAATAGGGAAACCAATAAAATTTAGAATTTAAAGAGATTTAAAGATACTTGTTACGTGAGGAAGCACGTTAGCCTTGAAAATCGAATGAGGTTATGAGATGGACACCAAAACTTGCTGAGACCAATTATAAGTTAATATTTGAGAAGAGACCTTCTTATCCCAAATGCAGTAGTAAGAGTAAGTACCGTGATGGGGTGGTGAAAACTAGAGCTGAATGTTTTGTTATAGGAAGCCATTGAAGAGTATATATGGGAATATTTCTTGCACAAGGTATGATCATATATAGTACATTACAGCTTTTCCTAGCTTTGCAGTATAGATATATTTACAGTAATAAACCGAGAGCAACCAAGCGTCAACTCAGTAGTCACGGTTAAAGTTAGATGATTTGCGGATACTATTTTGAAGCATACTCACTGGTTTGTTGGCAAAGCATTATGGGATTTGTAATTTACTGCAGCTGAGATGACGTAGATAGTCTGTCTTTTATTCCAAAGACTACAATGAGAGTATGCATTGCTACAGGAAACTAAAACCATAGGGTAATAATGTCACAGCTAAACAAATGATCAGTTTGCAAAAAGAGATAATGAAAGCAGCAGTATCTGAATTATTGCTTTCATTAATACACACATTAGTGTGTATATTGTTTCACTTGCCTCTCCACAACATGGAAGATCTTGTCAGGCATCATAGCCTCCAAGACCAATGGGTATTTGAGTCAGTATATGAGCAATACTCAAAGTAACAACTCCAGAGGATCAAAACATCAACTGCAGGTAGACCAAGCAGTCACACAGGATTCTAATACCAGACAGACCAATCTGTGCACATCCTGGATTAAATACAAGAAAGCCTATGACACAATTCGTCATACATGGATACTGGTATGCTTGGCTCTATACATGGTCAACAAGACAATAAGTGCCTTCATCAAGAACTTGATGGGCAAGTGGAAAACAACTCTAGAAGCCAATTCCAGGACAATAACACAAGTAAACATCAAATGTGGCATATACCAAGGTGATGTGCTATCCTCAATGCTGTTCTGCATAGGCTTCAACCTCCTTAGCCAGATCATCAAGAAGAGTGGATACGGACACAGATTCAAGAGTGGAGCTACCAGCAGCCACCTTCTCTAGATAGACAACATCAGGCTGTATGCCAAGAATGAGTGGAACATTGACTTACTGATCCACCCAACTAGGATATACAGCAAGGATACCATTCTTACACCCCATAGTCAGATTCAATAATGGAGCTACCATCAGCCACCTACTCTACATGGATGACATCAAGCTGGATGCCAAGAATAAGAAGGATATTGACTCACTAATACACCTAACTAGGATATACGGAATGTTGTTTGGACTAGATAAGTGTAGGTGGATGATAGCAAAAAAAGAGAAGATGATCAGGACAGAAGGAGTTCAAGTACCATAAGGTCAAATAGGTGATGTAGAGAACAGCTACAAGTACCTGGGGGTACCTACCTACCTATGACAAACACATGGTAACCACGAGGAAGAGACAAGGTAGTTAGCAACATCCAAGTACCTCTTGAGAGTTAGACGGGTCCTGAAGTCCCAGCTCAGTGGCAAGAACAAAATCCAAGCCATAAACACAAATGCCCTAATAGTCATTAGGTACTCAGCTAAAAACAATAATCTGGCCAAAAAAAGTGCTGGACACCATAATAGTCAAGACCTGGATACTACTGACTATTCCACCCAAAATCCAGCACCTAAAGACTGTACACCAGCCGGAAGGGAGGAGGCAGGGACCTGATGAGTGTCAAGGCCACAATCCTGGTTGAAACACAGAGCATCCACAAGTACATCAAGAAGTTGGTCCCTAAGATGAACTGCTAAGGGAATGCCTGAGAGAACAATGCATAGAGGATACAGAAAAGTAGGAGGTTCAGTGGCAAGACAAAGCTCTTCATGGGGTCTGGTGGTACATCAGATAGTGGATGTGATTCACAATACAAAGTCCTATCAGTGGTATGAAAATGCAGGCACTAATCCTAGCAGCACAGGAAAAGGCACCCAGTACCACACCAGACAAGAACCAAGAGGTAGACTGTGCAAAAAGGCCTCTGAGACAATCTGGTGTATAGTAGCCATGTTTAAGAAGTGAGCAGGGGCATCATACACTGAGAGGCACAACCAAGTTGCTGAAATTCTGTACCAAAATATCTACACAGAATATGAACTGGACCTCCCTAAATCCAGTTCGGAGATACTGCAAAGAGTAGTTGAGACTGACAGGGCTAAGATCCAGTGGGACTTTCAGATACTGATAGACATGCAAGTAGTGGCCAACCAACCTGACATTCTGGTGGTAGACAAGGAATGGACGATTGCAGTGGTGGTGGAAGTGGCAATACCCAGTGACCATAACATCAGGAAGAAGGAACACAAGAAGGTGGACATATACCAAGGATTGAACAAAAAGCTCATACACAGTGTTCATACCCTCCAAGTCATGTGCTGGTAATGCCCATTCCTCTTGATCTATGTAGATTAAAACTAAACTAAACTTCTATGCTCTTCACGCTGATATATATAGGGTTTTATGAGTGTCTTCTTTAACCATTTTCTCAAATTTAATTTACATAAAATTATCTAAAACATAAAATTAACTAAAACTAAATCCAGAATTGTCAAACAATGACAATACATATTTAACCTATTCCTATTTCAAATAGGAATTCATAAACTTAAAAAAACAATGGAATAAAAAAACCCTCTACAAAACCAACTGCAAAACAATTTTAAAAAAAGAATAAAAATGTGCAAAAACGTAATAATCATAGCCAATTTATGTGACTTTAAACACTTTAACAATTAAGCTAATTGTAATTGGTTGAAGAGTTATATAAATTGTTATTTTATGTGCAATTTACTAGGGAAGAAAACCCCCATGCTTATTTCCATGTGGGATTATTGGGAGCATGAGGGTAGTTTATAATAAATCTGAATACTGATGCCAGTAAAACAAGGCATTCCTTCGTGGGACATTGTGGTGTCACTCCCAGCTCCCACAGAGTGTATACTATGATATAACATTATAATATTATAATTCACTGTTTTTTGAACATGAAACATCTTCCCTAATGTTCTGTTATACAAGCAAAATAAGTTAATTTTTAGACTAAAATAATATATAGTTAATAATGGAAAAATATAGTTTAAGGATGGTAGAATATAATGTGTGCCCTGGTTACCAATAGTTGCATCCTTTGAATATGGATACATATTTAATTAACTTTGCAATTCCAACCTTCACTAAACTACTCGGAAATTCTTTTCTAATTGTTTTTCTATATTCTACTGCAAGTTTGCAATTACTGTGGGGATAAATAAGAAAAGTAAAATAAATAAATGATTAAGTGTACTGTGTTAAAAATAGAAATACAAAAGACAAGTAGCCCCGCATTGTGTTGCTGGTGGATGATTAAAAGCCCTATTTTCTACACAAAAGGGTTTATTATAGACCAAAACTGCCATGCCGAAGAAAAAAGCCTAATGAACTAAAACAGTTTAAAAAGTGGGGTAGTTATTTTTTATTTGCTGCACCCTTCATCTGTTTGTTCTGCCAAGTTGATTTAATAAGGCTCTTTCTATAATACAAGCTCTGGGTGGTGGAAATTTTAATTAGATGGTATACCACACCAGTCAACTCAATGATGGGAAAAACACCTAGTTTCTCTGCTGGTGGCATTGTGGGAGTAAGGGAACTTACAAACACATGTGGTGGGACTGCCCCCTCAAAGGACAGTATAGGAAGACTTCTGTCACAAATTTTCCAGAGACCATTCAAGATGGATTTTGGGGTATTTCTGTTTTCCAAACTCATTGATTGTTTCTCAATGCGCTCTCAGTAATTACTAATCAAAATTATGTTGCATAAAGGGCAATGGGGGCGAGCTGGTTACAGGCACATGTGCCTACTATGGAGGATGTAAAGGCCAACATAGCCCATAACTAACTAATGGATAAATTGACAGCCATGGTCCATAATAACACACAACCCTTCACAAAGGTTTGGGCACTTTTGGAGGAGTTGGGGAGATAGTAGGCTGGATGGCTTTGTAAGTATGAAGCCACCTCTAATCTCATGGTGGGTCCTTTGACAATATTTTGTTTTGATTAATTTTAGTTCTTGTTAGTTATTTCATTTATGTAGTCGTTTGTTTAAATTATACTTTCTTAGTTCACCAGATAGCGCAAAATCTATGTCTGTAATTGTGTAGTGCAAGCAGTAAGATTAGCTCATGTAGGACCTTTTACTGTATATGTTATTTTAAATCTGTCTAATCAGTGATGTTGACTAAGGAAATGCTGTTAAAGAGAAAACATGGTACAACACAATTTAAGAGAAGAAACAATGCCACTTCCTCTCTTCTAGCATTCCCTCTCCAATGCTTGTGGACCTTAAAGGACCACTATAGTGCCAGGAAAACATACTCGTTTTCATGGCACTATAGTGCCCTGAGGGTGCCTCCACCCTCAGGGTCCCCCTCCCGCTGGGGTGGATGGAGAGGAAGGGGTTAAACTTACCTCTTTCTCCAGCGCCGGGCGGGGAGCTCTCCTCTTCATCTCCTCCCTCTTCTCCTCCTCTTCGGCAGAATGCGCATGCGCAGCAGGAGCCACGCACATTCAGCCAGTCCATAGGAAAGCATTCACAATGCTTTCTTATGGACGCTGGAGTCTTCTCACTGTGATTTTCACAGTGCGAAGCACGCAAGCGCCTCTAGCGGCTGTCAAGAGACAGCCACTGGAGGCTGGATTAACCCTGCTATGTTTATAAAAAAAAGGGTTAACCCTAGCTGGACCTGGCACCCAGACCACTTCATTAAACTGAAGTGGTCTGGGTGCCTATAGTGGTCCTTTAATATCCCAATCAACAACCCTAAGATCTCTGATGTCTCTCAACTGCTCTCTGTAGCCTCCTCTTTGGTCTCATGAAATGGTCTAACTCAGCAGCTCATACAACTGGAAACACTCTTGATCTCAGTGTACTGGCACTCTCTGCAATGTTCCATCTGTCTACCATCTGCTGATCAGAGACATAGGCAAGCCCCGTACCCAAATCATACCACTTGGTACTTTAATCTCATAGAAACCTCCATTGTCTTGGCCTACAGCAATTCTCCATCAAACTGTCCTTTTACCTATGTTAAACATCACTTGCCCTAGCTCTGCAACCTACCTCTTCAACTCATCCCTCTCCTCTGAACTAAATATCATGGCACCTCTTATATTTAAACTTTTTAAGTGACCATACAACCTTGGCACACTAAACTGACCTGCTACCTGCTACCTTCTAAAATGCTCCCGAATTTCTGATCACAGCTGGAAAAGCATCTGACTTCACTATAAGTCCACTATAAATTAATGCTAGTCTCTTACAGTTTGGCATAAGCAAACTACTACAATATACCCCCATAATCATGCTCTACCAAGAACTCAAATGCCTGCCTAAAACTTTTAACTCTCTACTTTACCCTGTCATTGCTCTTCCTCCTACAAGCTTGACTGCTATGACCTTCACTGCTCATTTCACTGAGAAGAATTGAAACCACAGCCTCTACCCCACCACAACAGCACCTGTCACCCACCCTAACAGTACCTGTTCCCCACTACTGCCCCTGTATCCTCACCACTGGCACTGTCCACTCACCACAGCCCTTATCTACAAACCACAGCCCCTATCCTCCCACTGCAGCCTCTATCTTCCTACTATAACCATTATTCCCTCAGCACAGCCCCTGTCCCTCATCACGGCTACTATCATCCCGCTACAGCCACTATCTCCCCACTCCAGCACCTATACCCCTTTTTCCTTAACTACAGTCCCTCTCCTTCTAAACACACACATAACAGCCACTGCCTCCCACACCACACACATAACAGTCCCTATTACCCAAAATGTCACTCTACCACCCCTATTCCCTGCACAGTTATTCTACAGACCTGATCCCCCCACACATTCTCTACAACCCAAATCCCCCCCCACAAACACACACACTCTACAGTCCCATATGTCTTCCCAAAACACACACTATACAACCGCTTTCCTCAACAACACACAAAAAGGCAATCTCCTCCCATATACACACTAAAGCCACAATCCCATTTAACATACACACAAATACACACTAAAGCCAATATCCCATTTAAAAGCCCCTATCCACAAACAGCCCCTATTTAAATACCCATGCACATAGTACACCTCAAACAGCCCTATAAGCACACAACCTGCAACCACACAAGCAGCATCTCCCTCATGCACGCAACCCTACAAGCAGCTTCCCCCGCATACACAACTCCATATATATATATATATGGGGTGTATTGGGGAAACAGGCCTTGAGGCAGCAAGGAGGGTAAGTCTGGCCCTGGTTAACATAATATTAAAATCCAGGGAAGTGATAGTTCCCCTTTAACTTTAAGAAGGGACCGGTCTAAGCTTGAAAATGTGTTTTCTAAATCTACTTATAGCTAATACATATAGACCTGAACTCTACTTGTAGTCCATAAATAATGGACTGTGATGTTTGGGTACTAATCTGTATTAAAACCTTACTGCAGAAATGTTACCATCAGGCAATAGCTCTCCATTGAAACTATAGTGAGTAGGAAACAACAAGACTAACAGACAAAATAACTTTTCTAGCAATTTTTTCCCACACAGTAAAACTTATACAATCAACAGAGATTGTATATAGCACCTCAACATACCACTGCCAAACACTTCAACAGACAAAGTGAAATGCACCACTTTCTGATTATTACCCTTTAAATTACACGTGAAAAATAAAATGGGACAGTTTAACCCCTTAAGGACACATAACAGAATTTTCTTTCTTTCTTTATTTAGGAAAAAAATAATAACTTAACAATTTTCTCTTATTCATATGGTGGCACGTCAGCAGTTATTTGTCAACCATACATCGATTTAACCTTATTTTGTGGTACACAATCAGTTGTCTTTGTAACTTTCCACACTAGAGATTTGTCCTAAGCACTGCAGCACCCGAAAGATTAAACTAATATAGAAGCAGTTAAGTACATAAAACAATAACTGGTGTCATTATATTTATTTAGATGTAATTGTCTCTCCACAATGGTGTTGTTTAAAAAAGTTGTCATGCAGTAAAGGCATGATATTTGAAATTTATTACAGTACTTGCGTGTTTATAATGCTACCGCTATGGTTAGGACGAGTTAGGATGGAAAGTTTTGGGGGATATCTACACTCAACGTGCTGTGCTCTTACACATTGCAACCTCATGACAGGGTCACTCACACCAAGCTCTTACTTTCAGCTCACCAGTGATAATGTTAAAGTGAGTTATCTACAATTATTTTGATATTTATTGGGGGAGATTTATCAAAGCAAATAGAGATGCTATTCTGGGGCAAATTGTTAAATATGGCTCAATCACGTTGGAAACTAATGGGATGCTTTTTAACATTTAGCATTTTGCGGCTATTTTGTGTTGATAAATCTGGCCTGTTGTGTTTTTTGCATTATATCGCCTGTCCATCACTATCTAAAGTATGTTATTTCATGCTCTTAGCACTTAACTGAAATGGATGAAACAAAATGTCTCCGATTATATTGAATTAATGTACAAATGATAATGGCAAGGTTTTTTTTTGTCTCTGGATAATGCATAAAACCATTAAAAATATAACATGGAATTAGGATGTTGGTAAAAAAAAAAAGAACCTAATTTCATAATATGAGTTTAGAAGTGCTTATTAATTTTTTGTTTTATTAACAAAGTGGGAGTATTAAGTTTACTAAATGACGAGAAAATAGATAAATTATTGGTCATATGACTGTATGACTGATGTCTTTTGTTTAATTGATCTACTATTCACAATTCCCTGTTTAGTGACGCTTTGAGTGCCAGGTAAAATGACTTGCTCTGGCACACGGAGGGTTAATATGCATACTGCAGTGACAGGCTAAATATTTCTTATTATTCAATTCACTTTTTGTATTAAATCATTTTAAAATATAAACAATGTGTCCGAAGTAGGCAAAGTAAGTATACAAAGGTACAGCGGCACCCCACTGTGCTTACTGCTTTAAACTAAATTTTATTAAATCAAGTGGATTCCATTAATCAGATTAACAAGAAAATTATTAGTGCAGCCAATTTTGAAACAAATACTACAATAGAAATTTTGCACTGTATTGATCACCAAATATAGTCTACTTATATGGGTAGTAAATGACAATGCGTAATTTTTATATATTGGTATTAAAGTGGGCTTCACAAAATGGGTTACATTTGTAGATTTATATTTATAGCAACATTTGTTTGCAGCATTTCAATTAAAAAAAAAAAGTTTTTAATCCAATCCAGATGTCTTTAAAGGCACTCTGTGAAGTTAAAAGGGTTCAAAAAAATGATTTTTTTTTTCGCTTTCTCGTGACATGTCATATTTTCTTGCTTTTATAACAATTAAATTGCTATTGTTCCATGAAGCCAAAATATCCTTGAAAAAAAATAATAAAAAGGTCCGCTTGTCAAATATAACATAATCACACATCATATTTATGCAATTTCTAACTTTATCCTGTTTGCCAAATGTTTTTTCTTCCACTGTCAGTAAAACAGCACTTAAGAACAAAATCCATAGACAATAAATAAACATTTCAACTCAAAGAGTAAACAACACATGCCAGACAAACTCATACTAATTTATAAATAACAGCATTTGCATAGTTAAAGGTGTACATTGATCCCAATCAACTCAAGAAACACGAGACACATTGTAAGTGATATGTGCATCTTTATGCACCTGCCTTATATCGTTACATGTGACAAAAATAGAGTTTTATTCATTTCTTGATCACAGGACATAAAAGTTCAATATGATAATTATTCTATAAAAGTCAACAATTACTATTAAACACATTTTCCTTTTAACACTCTGGGTCCCCATCCCTTTGCCTGCCCATAGTGCATTGGATAGACCCACGCCCCTTGAAAATGTTGGAAGCGATTTCTTCAAAAGTACTTTTAACAAGAAAAATTAAAAAAAAAAAAACTTACCAGTGCCCTGCTTCTCCAGGAAGTTGTACCCTACAGCACCTGCTGAGGGTTTCGTAGATCAAAACTCTTGACAGGTAAAAAAATTCCTGTACCGTAAAGCCAGACCAGCTGGCTTTGAAGCGAAACCCCCCAGTCTGGTTTCTGTTTGACTTGGTCTCCTTCTTGTATGAGGACAAGAGTTTTTTTTTCCCCTTTAGCTGTTGACCTGTAAGAAGCGAGATTTTCGTGCACAAGTGTCTGGCAGGCCCACGAGCACCTGCTCCTGTCAATCTGGTTTAAATATAGCTGTAAAAGGTATCACTGACAACTAGATCTTTGTCAGCGTTGGCATAAGAACACAAGATTAGAGCCCCCTCCGAACATATGCCAGAAGTTAACATGAAAATATAAAATCTACAGCCATGTACGAAAATCTTTTATTACTTTTTTCAATTTTTATTTTTTATTATTTTAGAATATGCTTTCATATGTCAAAAGTGTTTCCTCTTTTCACACTGCTTCCTTGATTGCTTTTCCCAAGCGTAATGATTGAACAAAACAGCTTCTTGTATTAATAATTATGGCTGGGAGCTTTCGTATAATGCAGAAATCCTACTGAAACCAGGGCTATTAAAAACATAATGTTTAACACTTTTGATTGCGTACAGTGCTTTTATTCTTTCTTAATCGGAGTGAACTTAGAAGAGCGTAAAACATCTCAGAATGGTTATTAATCATGGCACCAAAATTAGAAAGCTATGTCGTGTTGAGAGATTGTTGTTCGTGTCATAATAACCTGGAGTCGATCAGGGACTGAAGAGAGAAGTCCTTTCCCAAACGATGATCAAATGCCTGGGACGCCACTGAAACGATACGTTGTGGCAAATCAAGAACCCAACTGCAAAGTTTATCCCGTATTTGCTGACTTGGAAATTTCTTTCAGTTGGACTCTTTTATCTGAAATGTTGTAATTCAGTTGTCAATTGACCATAATTCTTTGTTTAATGTATGACCCTCCAATGCCTTCTGCACATTCATTGGATTAAGAGCATCGATAATTAATTTCCTCCTCTCATAGAATAGATATCCTGATAAAAGGAAAGACCTTTTACAAACGAAAGAGATGAAAGAGAGTGCTTAGCTAGAATATGATTATGACAAATAAAATGAATTGTTAATGCTGATATAACCTAATTAGCATTAAATAACCACACAGGCTAGATTTAGTCCCTGCTTAGTTAATTGTGTTGTAGTTTTAAACAAATTGCCCATAGTACCTTCTAATACTCATTACTGCTACTCTGAAGGGGGAATAGAAAAATAATCTGGGTCAGGAACCTTTTCTAAAATAAACAGAGATCCTATTTACTAGCTATGTATAAACAACTCCTCGCCCAGCCTTGTTTCTCTGCAGGGGTACCAATTTCAGATAAAAACTCAGCCCTGCCTAACATCTCCAGGTATCCAAGGAAACGGTATAAGAGCCTCTCTCACCGAGAGCTTTTCTTGCACAAGATTTTAAAGCAGGGCATTGAATGAGTAAGTGTTATTATTTAATAATTATACAGGAATTTCTTTTCAAAGGCCTCCAATGTGGGAACAGGTTTTATTTTATTGTTACAACCATCATAACAAAACCCTTATGTTTTCATCTTACTTTATAAAATTATGTGTTTGTTCACCAGCAATCTATCAGTTCACATTTTGAAATGTAAAACAACCTCCCAAATTCTTACAGAAAAGGACCATCTTGCAGCTCTGAGAACCGAGTCTGCAAAAGAAACATTAACTCTTTCCTTCCTGTGTATTCCAGATAAACACGTGCACAACTGATTACTTTTAAAAATGCATTTTATTTGGTTTTAAAAATTCATTGTATTTATTTTGCCAGCAGAAATATGTGATTGGACAGGTGGGGGTAGGACAGATGGGTGCATTCAACAAATCTAACACTATCTTGTTCATAGAGCATTGAGGGCTCAATTGAGTTATGCATTTGCGAAGTGACTGGGTCAATTCAGTAATGATATGAAAAAACTTGGGACCGGGGCAGCAAAATTCCAATATGCCACTTGCATAAGTCCCTGAGCATAAACAAGTTACCGGGTGGAAGACAGGTCATCAGGCCAGGAACTCCAAATCCAGTATTAAAACAAAAAATATAAATAATGTCCACTGCAAGTGCTCACAATCAACAGAAGGTTTAATCAGCACAAAACAAAAAGTAACAAACGGGGGAAAAGGTCACACAAAACACCTAATGCGTTTCAAAATTACAGGTCCTTAGACATTGTAGTCAATTAACTATTTCAAAGAATAGTTTATTATAATGGTATGCGTCCAGGAGTAGGCAACTTTTGGCACTCCTCACATTGTGGACTCCATCTGTAGAAAATTTATGAGAAGCACACCCCATAAAACGTAACAACATTTTAATTGGATGAATCTATATTCATATGTTAATGTACACATATTTGCACATGGCCGACTGAATAAATAAACAAAAGTTATACAGTATACATAAATTAAAGTTATGACATAAACACAAAACAAATCCAAAGAAAGAAGCACAAAAACAATCATGAAAAAAATAGAACAATACATACCAAAAAAAAGACCAGATAACACAGGGAAACAGAGTGAGAGGCGAGGTACACCAAAACAAAAAAAAGATTGGCTGCAATCCCAACGTTTCGGTTAGGGAGCATGAATACATCACCCATAATGCTCGTACAACCATAAAGCATCAGAGGAGATGTCGTTAACAATATTTGTATATAGACCAGGAGTAGGCAATTTTCAGCACTCCAAAAGTTGTGAACTACAGCTACACCTTCCCTGATGCTTTGCCAGCTTTATACCTGTAAGAGCATTATGGGAGATGTAGTTCACAACATCTGGAATTTAGAAGGTTTCCTACTTCTGCTATAGAATGTCACTGGTCTTTAAAAAGTTAAATGCTAGTGTGATCATATTATCTCCATGGTACTGACCAATTTTCTTTCTACAGGTGAAAGAGGCCTTCCTTAACCCCATAGAGTCTGCGGACATATCAGGTACGTCCGACAAAAAATGGTTGTTAATGGTTGATAACCACTTTGGACGTACCTCATACATACATCTGCAGCATATTTTAGCACTGGAAGCGATTGTGAAAAAAAACAAGTAATAACCCCCCCCCAGGACCTTGGACGTACCTAGTACATCCGAGGTATTCCTAAATTACTTACCCGATTGCTGCTGTTCCCCCGCCGGCGATCGGTCTTCTTCTTCGTGATCACATGGCCCTCAGGGTCCTATTTTGCAGAAGGGGGACTGTCTGGGCTGTCAAAATAGGACCCCAAGGGCCATGTGATCACTCTTAAATAGGCATCCATAGTGTTGCCTGCAGGGGGACTGCCTGAACTGACAAGCAGGAGCCTGCTGGTGAAAAAAGTTAAAAATAAGTTTTAAAATAAAAAAATAAAGTTAATAAATAAAAAAATTTTTATGTATATATGAAATATATATATACATAAATTATATCTCTATATAATATGTATATATTTATATATATCTTACATATAACGTCATATTAAGTGTATTTTTTTATTAATACATACATAAAATTACACACACATATATATATATATAATATATATAATAACTATATATATTGTATATATATATATATATATCTATTATTCTAAAAAATTAATAACAATTAATTAAAAATAAATAAAAACATGTAAAAATAATAAAAAATTTAAAATAAATTATATATATGTAATTTTATTCTAGCTGTATTTTGATATAAATATATATATTTATCTATGTATATATATATATATATATATATATATATATATATAAAAGGAATACAAAATATACATATGTCCCCTACATAATTATATAAATAATTTCATAAATATACACGTAGACTTCAAATATATAAATATGTATATATATATAAATTCTAAGTGCATATTTATGTAATATTTTTACATAATTAAGTAATTTTATTGATTGCAATTTAGGGGACCTGTCTGACAACCCAGGCTGAAAGTCCAGAGAATTTAGTTTGCTAGCACTATATTTAACCCTGTAACTTTCCAAGACACCCTAAAACCTGTACATGTTGGGTACTGTTGTACTCGGTAGACTTCGCTGAACCAAATATTAGTGTTTCAAAACAGTAAAACATATCACAGCGATGATATTGTCAGTGACACTTTTTGCATTTTGCACACACCAATGGCACTTTCACTGATGATATCACTGTTGTGATACATTTTACTGTTTTGAAACACTAATATTTGTGGATTGGATATTTTGCCTTTGAGAGTGTGTGATAGCCCAGGAATGAGAATTACCCCCACGATGGCAAACCATTTGCAAAAGAAAACAACCCAAAGTATTGCAAATGGGGTATGTTCAGTCCTTTTTAGTAGCCGCTTAGTCACAAACACTGGCCAATGTTAACATTTATAATAGTTTTTTTTGCATTTTTAACACACAAATATAAATGCTAACTTTGGCCAGTGTCTGTGACTAAGTGGCTGCTAAAAAAGACTGGACATACCCCATAATGAATAACCTGAGTTGTCTACTTTAAAAAAAAAATATGTACATGTGAGGTGTGATTCAGAGATTTATGACAGATAACAGTGTCACAATGTCACTAATGATACATTTTAAAATATATATTTTAAAACAGCAATGTGCTACTTGTACTTATAGCCCTATAACTTGCAAACAAAAGCTATGAACATGTTAACATTGGGTATTTCTAAACTCAGTACAAAATTTAGAAACTATTTAGCATGGGTGTGTTTTGGCAGTTGTAGATGCATAACAGATTTTGGGGGTCAAAGTTAGAAAAAGTGTGTTATTTTAAATTGTTTTATCATATTTTTTATAGTAAATTATATGATATGATGAAAATAATGGTATTTTTAGAAAGACCATTTAATGAAGAGAAAAACAGTACATAATATGTGTGGGTACAGTAAATGAGTAAGAGGAAAATTACAGCTAAACACAAACATTGCAGAAATGTAAAAACAGGCTTGGTACTTAACAGTAAGAAAATTGTAAAAATGTCTAGTCACTAAGGGTTCAAACTGAGATTAAAAGCATTAATTTAAGATTAACATGATTAATTAAATACGATTTGTATCTTTTATAAAGCATTCATGTTTTTTTTAACTGTGCCAAAATACTCATTGCATCAGTAGGAACATTGTC